GCGCTCCCCAGCGCGGGTGGCCCGGGCCCGCAGCGGCGCACGCGGCGCCACCGCACCATCTTCAGCGAGGAGCAGCTGCAGGCGCTGGAGGCGCTCTTCGTGCAGAACCAGTACCCCGACGTGGGCACGCGCGAGCGCCTGGCCGGCCGCATCCGCCTGCGCGAGGAGCGCGTGGAGGTGGGTGCCCGGCCCGGCGCCGGGAAGCCGGGGAGGAGGGGCGCAGAGGGGGGGCGCGTCGCGCCGCCTCCTTCGCTGTCAAAGACCTCTCGGTCCAGAGCACCGCCCCGGGACGGCGGGACCCAGCGCCTTGGAGGGAGGGGACGGACAAGGCCACGGCCCGCAGGTTCAGCTACTGCCCCCGCCGCCCCGGGACGGGGACTGAGCGGGAGGAGGTGCGTGTGGGAAAGGCGTCACTGGAACCGCAGGGGCGGTAGGGTTAGTTTTCTTTCCCTTTATTTTAGTCCTGCTTCTTTTCCTGGTGATAAAGCGGGCATTTGTTCATCTTCCAGATTTTGGAAAGTTCTCAAATGGTCAGAGCTTCTGCAGAAGGAACGTTGTGGTCGCCTCTGGGTGGAGGCCGGGCGGGCGGGCGGGCAGGCGGGAAGAGGCGTCCCCCATCCCCGGGCTGCCCTGGCTGTGAAGCAGATGAGGGAAAGAAGGCCGGGTTTAGGAGCCCCTGCCAGGCCAGCTGTGGGCCCTTCAGGTATTGGGGATGGGGCGGTCAGAGGTCCTGGAGGTCTGAGGAGCCTCTTCCCTCACTTCTCTTCTCCCCTCCTTGTCCTTCTCTCCTTCCCCTTCCTTTTCCTCCTATTCTCGCTCCAGGTCTGGTTCAAGAACCGAAGGGCCAAGTGGAGACACCAGAAGCGCGCCTCAGCCTCTGCAAGGCTCCTGCCAGAGGCCAAGAAACCTCCCAAGGAGCGCTGCTGATGGAGCTGGGAGCTACTCCTGGCCTTGGCGTTCACCTTTGGAGCCTGCACAGAGAGGACAGACCTTCTGGAACAGAAGCTAAGGGGGTGCTGCAGGCTTTTCCATCATTCTCCACAGCTTCCTGCCACCTGGAGCTGGTGCTGTGTGTGTGTGTGTGTGTGTGTGTGTGTGTGTGTGTGTGTGTCCTGGCACCACTAGTCTCTGAAAGGAGGGAACACCACACGTCTCGGTGCCCTGTCCTCCCTGGGGCAGCCAGTCAGGAACCACTGTGGTTGCCTTGGGGGTGGAGTGGGACAGAGACCACGTCAGCATCCTTAATCCCCACCAACCACCCAGAAAGGCCAGCACTCCATCCGGGACAGGGACCACCACGGAAAAGCACAGGGACCCAGAGTCCTCCCCTGTGGTGTCACCCTCCTCACCTGAGGGCATTCTGGCCTCCCTCCTTCCTTGTATGGACACAGGCCCCTTGACCTGTCTTCCATCTGCCCAGGGCAGGGCGGTGGACCTGCTGCCACCTCAGAGGACCTGTGCTGCTGGTATCTGAACTGCAGAATAAGGAGATTGGATGAGATAATTTCCACAAGCCCCTTCACCTGCTCCTTAATCTTTGAGCTTTGTGCTGATGCCAAGAAAGAACCAAGAACTAAAAATGCCACAAAAGCAGTACAGAGTCCCAAGTCTGCCCTAGCCCCATTTCCACACCCAGAGGGAAGCTTCCCCTCCTCCCTCTTTCCTCGAGGAGTGGTTTAGGGAGTCTTTGGGAGCATAGCCCAGGAGTCCGAAGTCCTTGTGCTAGGTGCCCCCAGCAGAGCACACTAGCCCTGGGAAGGTGGCCGAGCCTCTGGGGGCCTGCTCTGGTCTCTAGGGTGGCTAACCTGCTTCATGGATAGGAATCCTTGGCTCCTTCCCCTGGGGATTTCTGTCCATTGGGGTCTGCCTCTCTTGCAGCCATCAACCTGTCATCCAAGTTGGGGGCAAGATGTGATTGCATTGGGAAGACCACACACCCACTACCTTGAGAAATGCCTGCCCTCCCCTCTACTACCTTGGCCCCAGAGTGAAGGACAGCATGAAAAACAAGGCTTCCATTTCCTGACAGGACCCATCCAATGGGCCCAACACTCTCAATACCCTCCCCATCTGGCTTTGAGCATCTTGTTTTGTTTCCTCAAGGTGCTGGAGGGTGTAAGGGGGTGATTGCGAGAGACATAACCCATCTATAGAAGCCAGACTGCAGAAGCCATGCTCCTGGGGCTCTCTAGGCTGACAGATTCAGGTAATGCCATGCAGACCTGGTGTCCCCCAGCTCGAGCTGCCCTAACACTGCACAGGTGCTCACTTCCACTCTCCAGGACACACACTTCCTGCTGTCACAAAAGTTTCTCTGAAATCTGGCCTTGCCCTTGAAGATTGCATTGTCTACCTGTGGACCTGACTCTCTCCTGGTCAGCGTCCCTGAAGGATGGGACACATTTTGCTGGGTTCCAGGCCCTTGTCCTCTTGGGCTGAATGGCAGTTTGTAATTGTTTAGGGCAACCATGGTGAGAGCTCGCCTGAGCTCCAGCTTCCAGGAATCACTGCTCTCCTGACCTGTCTCCTTCCTCTAGCTGCTCCTTGGCAAGCTGGCTGATTCCCCTTCCCTGACCTCAGCTGACCATTAACACACGTGTCTGAGGCTCAGTCTGCAGTGTCCCCGATCTCCATTCTCGTTTGCTTTATCTTTTACACTGTCTCCAATTCCCTTCTTTCCACCATATTTATATCTCAGACCTCTCTCCTAAACTAGATTCTTATGTCAAACTGTCCCCCCTGCCAGTACTCTACCTGGAAGCCCGAAGTATTCTCAGGTTTAGCTTGACAACATCGAGCTCTTCCCTGTGCAAACCAGGTGACCAAACAGAGCTAGTGATCACTCAACTGCTCCCTCTTTCACACACACCATACCCAGCCCAACAGCAGCAGTTCGTACATTATTGATAAATCCCAGAATCTACCTTCTTTCTAGCTTCACATGCGCCTGATTGATGTAAATCAGTCATCTCTCATCTTGACTGTTGTAGCTGTCTCCATCTTGTCTGGCTGCACCGCCTCTGGCTTCCCTTTAATTCAAGATAAAGACAAAACTCTTCCTGTCCAGGACCCACAAAGTTCGGAGCAGCCTGGCTTTGCCTCTTTAGCATCATCTCACACTTCACTGTACTTTGTATATCCAAAGGTCTGCTTTGGAGCGTCCCTTGTTCCCTGCCACCACTAGGATTTTGGGTATGTTCCCCCCATCCACTTGAGCAGTGCCTGTCTATTTGTCTTGGATTTTTTATTACTTTCTGCCTGGAGAAATTTCTACTGAATTTCTCCTCTAGGTCAAGACTCTCAAGTATAAATTCATCATGACTGCAATTTTACACTTTTCTTTTGAGACAAGGTCTCACTAGGTAGTGCACACTGGCCTTGAATTCATGGCAGTCTTCTTGCCTCAGCCTCCCAGTTGCAGAGATTACAGGCCTGCTCCCACGCCACCACACCTGACAATTTTACGCTTTTTTGTAGGGTGACATAACTAGTGTCTGTCTTCTCTGCTGGATTGTCGGCTCTCTGAAGGTAGAAGCATCATCATGGAGTCCCCAGTGGATCCCAATGGATGAAGAGATAGCTGCATATTGTAGAAGCAAAATTGTACTAGATCACCCTGGGAGCAGGATTTGTTTGTTTGACATAGTTTACAACCTCTTTTGGGAAGAAATTCCTGAGAAATGCTTAGGCAGTGTTCCGTCCCATTTCAGTGAGAAGTGGCCCTGTTCTGTGAAGCTCAGTCTGGCATTTAGGAGCCAAATAACCTCTAATTAGACATTTCTTTATTGAACCACTGTCTTGTCCTTTTAAATTATCTTGTGTTGGATAACTGTCAAGAAAGAATTGTCTTAGGGCTCTATTCTTGCATAAAGATTGGTACATGTATATAACAAGATTTTTGGAGTGCGTTTTTCTTAATAAATTTAAGCACACGTTCTGATTATCTGGGAGGAATTGAAATTTCAAGGCCTTTAGATTTTCCTCAGTGCTGAAACTTGATATTAGCGTGAATGACATCAAACAGCTGCCAACACAGCGCCACCTAGTGTCCTCAATTCCAACAAACGTGAACAATGCAAGGCGGGAGAAAGACTACAACTCCCTTGATGAAGCGCTCATAGTGGCGTCATTACGGAGCGCCGGCTGGCGCTGGAACAGTGCTACTTCCCCATTGGCTGGCTATTGGAGGCGCTGGCGCAATTGGTACAGTTCCCCGGCCCCCGGGGCCTGTGGTGCTTCTGTGAGGCGCGAGCGGTTCTGGGATAGCGATGGGGACTCCTGGGCCGTCGGGCCGGTCTCTGTTGCTCCCCGCCGCGTCAGGGCCCCCAAGGAAGCGCACGGCTGAGGAGGCTGGAGCTGCGAAGAGCAAGCAGCGAGTCCTGGATGAGGAAGAGTATATCGAGGTACACATCAGCGCTAACGCCGGAGATTTCCGGGTCCCTCCCCCAATGCGCGCTTCTCCCTGGTCCTTTCTCTCCGATCTTGACCCTCTAGTCCGATCGTGGAAGTTGAACAGCTGCATTCCCGCCCTTGGGATGTGGACGGTCCCGCGAACCAGCTAAACAGTGGAGGAGGAGATGTCCTGGACTGGGGAGGCACTAGTAGAGTTTTCAGGGTAGCAAAAGGGAGACCGCATGTGATGTTCAGCCTCACCAGAAATTGCCCATAAGCTCTCTCAAGCAAACGCTCATTATGGGGCATGCAGGAGTGAAAGGAGGTGCTCCAAGGGCCTTAGCGCATAGGATAGGGGACTGTGAGGCGGGGCATCCAGATGGCAGCTCTAATTTTTTTCTGATCCCTCCTGACAGGGCCTCCAGACGGTCATCCAGAGGGATTTCTTTCCTGATGTAGAGAAGCTGCAGGCACAGAAGGAGTATCTAGAGGCTGAGGAGAATGGAGACTTGGAACGGATGCGCCAGATTGCCATCAAGTTTGGCTCTGCCCTGGGCAAGATGTCCCGAGAGCCTCCGCCACCTTGTAAGAGGATCTTGTGGGTGGCAAAGGGGAACGCCCATCAAGTGTCTCCATGGGCTCATTCTGACTTCTAACCTCCTTCCCTAGATGTGACTCCAGCCACATTTGAAACCCCTGAGGTACACACAGGTACTGGAGTGGTAGGCAACAAGCCCAGGCCCAGGGCGGGAGGCCTGGAGGATGGTGAGTGAGTGCTCCCTCTGTTGGTTACATGGTCAGATGGTCTGGGAGTCTTATTGTGGCAGGCCCAGGGGCTGCAGGACACATCTTGCTCCTGAGGGATCTCTTTGCCTAAGTAACAACTTGTGAGGCCACAGAGAATTGTTCTAGGATGCAGAAGGCCTGGATCCAACTCCTAGGGTTTTTTTGAGATGAGTCTTACTATGTTGTCCAGACTGCTAGCTTTGTTTTTTCAATAGGCATTTTGGCTTATTGCCTTTCACCCTAATCAGCATCCACTCCATGAGAGCAGTCACTCCCCTGTGAAATAGCACGTGGTGTGATGTGGGCCTTCGACAGATACAAATAGAACAGATGAATGCTTGTCTTCAAGTATGTACTAGAACATGAGACACACAGGGATGCATAGGATGTACCATGACTTTAGGAGATTTTTTTAGGAAAGAGCATTCTAAGCTATGTTGAATATAAGAGTGCCTGAAATTACAGAACTTCTTGGTCACTTTTTTTTTTTTTCTTCAGCAGTAGGCAAAGGTGGACAAGATACTTTTCTTTTTCTTTTTTCTTTTTTTTTTATCTTTTTGAGACAGGGTCTCACTATGCAGTTCAGGCTGGTCTTGAGCTCACTTTGTAGCCCAGACTGGTCTCAAACTCACAATGATCCTCCTGTCTCAGCCTCCCGAGTGCTGGGATTACAGGAGTGTGCCGCCACGCCCTGCAAGATACTTTTCTTCAACCAGGTTCTTTGTTTGTTTGTTTGTTTGTTTGTTTTT